AAAGTTGCTGAAACTTCTAAGGCTGGATGTGTATCCCATCAATTAATTTTCCACATCTGATACCTACATCTCAATGGCCCTCATGCTACATTAGGTGATTTTCAACAATAGTTTGAAGAACTTCATTCAAGGCAAGAAAATTTACCAGAGGAGTCTTTTCTTTTCACAGCCTGTGTACGGGTTGCACAAGATTTTAGCCTTTGTCCTTACCAGCATGTTCCCTCTGTGCTCTTCCACAGCATTACTGGGTAATAGAGCTCTGAGTCACCTTGTTATGAAGATGTCTCTGAAAACTTTAAGTATTTTGGCTACTTTATTATGAATTACATTGTAAACTCTCTTTAAAGCTATGTTTCTTGAAAATGCCAATGTCAGAGTTCTGGAAATGCAGGTCTTCGATGACATGAGGAGTGTTAGGCTGAGCTGGCATCTCAGTCGTGCTTGCAGATGCACTCAGGTAGGTGGGGAGGACAGCTCATGGAACGGTGAGTGCAAACTACCATAGTGTAGATCTGCTGGTATTTTTACCAAAATCTGTTTCTTTGGTGTCACAACCATGATACTTTCAAAACTGTTGCATTTCCTACGTTTTCTTTTCAGCACTTCTACTTATCAGATAGACTTTACATGAATCAGTTAGACATATTTATTGAAAATATGCCAGTGGTTCACTTCAGGCAAACGATGAGAAACAGAGACCTCACGATTCGCCAGTGCATTATGTTACTGCTTCTTTTCATGAAGATTGCCAGCCTTCCAAGGGGAACTGAGGATTGCATGAAGAGCACTGGCGGGAACTCAGCATTCTTACTGTAAGCAAAGACCCTTCTTGCACAAAACCAAGGTGTCACTTAGCTATACCTTTGCTCTGCTAAGACAGGGCTCTCATTGGTTTCCAAACCATACCACAATGCCTCTACCACTGCATTAAATCTCCAGCCACACACACATTTGACAATTAATTAGGAACTTTTTGGAGAATTGAGTTCTGAGGTGGTGACAAATACTGCTTATCAGATAGAAGGTGAATTGAATTTTTTACTGGGAACCACTATGACTAGGATCACATAAATGAGTAATGGGCTCATTATTGTTCCTTACAAGTGACTGTGATACAAAGAAACATTCCCGAAAAATCAAAAGCCTACTACAATGACTCCAGTATCTCTTTGCCAGCATTCAGCAATGTGGACAGATTTAGATGACTGTGGCTTAAAGTCCCCCCAGCTATATTCAGAACTTCAGTAAACAATGTGAATGGAAACTCAGTCGAGACCTGTGTTTGTTCCCTACAGGCTGCCTCCACAGCAGCAGACAGTTAAATGTGGATATGCATGAGTTAATCCAGAAAGTAGTATACAAATTATTCACAGGGGAGAAATTTAACTCCATAACCAAACTATCAAACTGCCGGAACAGCTGTTTATGTTGCAGTAATACCAGAAACCTAACCTAAAGCTGAGACCCTATTGCAACTAGTGCAATTCCTGCCCCAGGAAAACTACAGACTATTTTCTAGTCAACGTAGAATCAATTAACAATGGTGAGAATAAAAGCAAAACCAATATAATAATACCTGGGTGGCTTTTATGTACTGCTTTTCATCGGTAGGTCTTATAAGGGGTTGATCCGGTATTGTCACACAGTCCTTAGTGTATCTATCCTCAAATCAGTCTCTCTAGGGAGATACTGTTATCTCTGGTTTATAAATGGGGAGCTATGACTCAAAGAGGCACCAGTATTGCATGTGAAGTAGGGAACTGAACCACAGTCTCATTGCTTGTGTACTGCGTACTGCTCCCTGGAGAACTTTTAGCTAGATGCTGCTCCCTGGAGAACTTTCTGCTAGTTGCTGAGCTGATGGAAAGGTATCATGTTGAAGTATCATGAGACAAACAGGTCCCTGAAAGAAATTCGAAAGAGGGTAAGAGTTTTATGAATTTTCATGTGATTTTATTTCATATACATGACATAACAAGCATAGAGGTGTATGAGGAATAAATGAACAAACAAATCAACGATAGGCAAAATGTCGTTACAAAAGTATTAGTAATCATACAGATATTAGCATTCCACTTCAAAACTTCTAAAAAGCTGGTCAGTGACATTCGACTGCAAAAGCTGATCATGAATGTAGGTCCTGTGTGACATCTGAGTAGGCTTCAACTGTCTGAGGTAATTCATGTCACAGGGAAAATATTTGGAATGAATGTGAGTAGGTCAGCTAGCCCATCACCTTGCCCTGAGCAGAACTGTTTATAATGCTATCATCTCTGATAGATGCAAGTTGTCTGCTCTTAACGCTAATGAAGTTGACTTCACTCTCTGCTTAAGACAGACTACAACAGTTTTTCATTTTTGCTGCCATTAGGAAGTGGTCTAATGCTGATATTGAAGTTGTATCTAGCAGTTTGAGTTCATTACTTCTCACCAACATAGCTGGGACATGAAAGACAGATTACTTGCTCCTTTTCACTTCATAGCAGTCTTACATATTTGAAGACTGACAACCTATCTTCCTTAGTCTTCTTGAAAGGACTCTGTTCAACCTTTCTTCATTCTCTGATGAAAAAAACCCTCTTCACATCTGTTCTCCTTTAAAACCTTTCCAGTTTCCACATCTATTCCCAAGTGGAAATTCAAACCTGACCACAGCACTCTGGTGCATGAAGGTAAATTCCTAATAGCAGGCAGCACCTGGGGTTGCCATCACATCAGGATCTCTCCTTAGATCCCAGTTCTTCTCCCTTTTCAGTGATGCTAGAGTGACTCCCAGCTGTTCCCACAGGGCTCAGACATGGTCAGGACTGACAGTTCTGTGCCCAGCGATGGCTGTCCTGGCTACAGAGGGGGATATATCCCACCAGTCAGTCAGCGCTCATGTTGTGGTGTGGGTTTACAGGGGGGAGCGGATCACCGGCAGCCTGCGGCCTCTCCTCCAGCCGTGTCTGAGGCACCGGGCTCAGCAGCCCTCACTCGCCAGGGCCTCGTGTCCCTGTCAACAAAAATGATAAACCCTGTAGCTCCTGCAGGATCATCTGTCACCTCACCAACCTATTACTTAAGTAACCCACCTATGCTATTGCCATTAATTAGCATTTCATCATTAACTTAGGCAATCCTCATCTTTACAGAGCGTGCACCTTTGAGATCAAGAGATCTAAAGGGGCGGTAATTATAGCACGGGATGTGAGAAATCGCCAGTAAAGCCTTTTTTCTCTCACCTTTCGTCACGTAAGCCCTGAACTGCTGAGGCAGGCAGCTATTCTGGCGGGCGGCACGGCTGCTTACGGACACAGGCCCCGGCCCCGGAGCACCGACCTCGGCCGCCGTCCGCGGGGAGGCGGGCGGGCGGGCGGTGCCTGCCGGACGGCCCATATGAGGGAGCGGCGGGAGGCGCCTTCC